CCCCCCTCCACCCAGCCTGTGGCAGCTACTAATCTGCTTTCTATCTGTGTAGATTTGCTCACCTGTATATTTCACATAAATGGAATCATACTATATGTGGCCTTTTGTGTCTGGCTTCTTCCACTTAGCATAATGTTTTCAAGGTTCATACATGCTGTAGCATGTGTCAATACTTTGTTTCTTTTTATGACTGAATAATATTACGTGGTATGGCTAGCACATCTTGTTTATCCATGAATGTATTGATGGGCATTTGAACTGTTTCTACTTTTTGGTTATCATAAATTATGCTGCTATAAACATTTATGTTCACATTTTGGGGGGGTTACATATGTTTTCAATCCATTATGTATGTATATACTTAGGAGTGGAATTGCTAGGTCATATGGTAATTCTATGTTTAACTTTCTGAGGAATTTCCAGACTGTTTTCCAAGGGGGTTGTACATTTTATATTCTTAAACCAGCAGTGTATGAGGGTTCCAATTTCTCCATATCCTCACCAACAGTTATTTTCTATATTTTGGATTCTAGACATCCTGTGGTTGTGAAGTGCTATCTCATTGTGGTTTTGATTTGCATTTCCCTAATGACTAATGATGTTGAGCATCTTTTCATATACTTGTTGGCCATTTATTTATCCTCTTTGGGGAGATGTCTATTCAAATCCTTGACCCATTTTTAAGTTAGGTTGCCTTTTTATTATTGAGTACAGAGTTCTTTATGTATTGTTGATACTAGTCCCTTATCACAGATATGATTTGCAAATATTTTTTTCCTGTTCTGTGGGTTGTGTTTTCATTTTCTTGATGGTATTATTTGCAGTACTCTAATGATTTAAAAAATTTTTTTCTGCAGAATTTAGTCGACGTCTTAAGGAGCGCATGCACCACAATATTCCTCACCGATTTAACGTAGGCCTGAACATGCGAGCCACAAAGTGCGCCGTCTGTCTGGATACTGTGCACTTTGGACGCCAGGCATCCAAATGTCTTGGTAAGAGCAGCAGTTGTGCATCTTTGGTGGGTACCTACACGGCTCTGTCTAAAAAATCCATCATATGGAGGTGATTTCTTTTCTTTTTTTTTTAAAACTCCTTATCATATAGTGCATTCATTTTCAAACTTTTTGTTTCAGTGGGAGGACACTATTTTTCCCCTGTTAAAATAGTGGGTTTATACATGTCTACAGCTCATGACTACAACTTGCTGTACAAAATGCCTTGAGCTTTGCTAATTTCCAGCCCCTTTTTGTCAGGCGGATCTCTCTACCTTTATGCTGGCTCCATCTGAAATCAGCAGACATGTCCTTTACATACCTGTTTGGGCAGCCTGGGTTGAACCTAGGAAAGCTGGGTTGGGAGTGTGTGGCTCTCTCATTTCCTCTCTCTGCAGGGGCCTGGCACCTGGGAATGCTCAGGGATTACCTGGTTGCCGGGGCTAGATTTATGGGGCCCGGCTGGGGATGGAGAAGCCTGGGGGTTGGCTGGCAGAGGAAGGGAACAGCCCAGGATCAGCCTAGCATGTTTTCAAGTTGTTCACTGCTCTTCCCCAGAATGTCAGGTGATGTGTCATCCCAAGTGCTCCACGTGCTTGCCAGCTACCTGTGGCCTACCTGCCGAATATGCCACGCACTTCACTGAGGCCTTCTGCCGTGACAAAATGAACTCTCCGGGTCTCCAGGCCAAGGAGCCCAGCAGCAGCTTGCACCTGGAAGGGTGGATGAAGGTGCCCAGGTATGGTTGCAGAGTGGCTTGGGCTGGGGCAGGTGCTGGCATAGAAGGCCACAAGCCACTTCCACTCCTAATGTTTTCTGAGGAGGTGTCTTTTCTAGGATCTCCTCCGACCTGCCATCACCCCACCCTCCATCCTGATTGTTCTGAGTTCAGACATTTTTTTTTTCCATCATTCTTTTCCCAGGAATAACAAACGAGGACAGCAAGGCTGGGACAGGAAGTACATTGTCCTGGAGGGATCGAAAGTCCTCATTTACGACAATGAAGCCAGAGAAGGTAAATTAATAATTCAGGGGGAATTTCACTGCACGTGGTTAACCCAGGTCTCCCGGTGTTGGCGTGAAGGCTTTGTGCTCTGGACTGCCTTGCAAGCCTTCCACGCTTTTCCATTTTTGAAAATGAAAAACCAAATGACTTCTCTAAAGGTTATTGGTGCGATACTCACATCTATAGGTCTCCCCCCTGAAGAACCTGCAGGGTGCTGCCCTGAAGATTCTACCTGCTAATACACCTACAGAGACCTTCTGCCTCAGTCAACTAACCCATAAATCCGCATCGTCATCAGAAATTTCACTGTGCTACTCATCTGACACACTTTATTTTTTTTTTATCTTCCCTCTCTGCCTTCTCTGCACACCTGTTTCCCTTCCTCTTGTTCTCGTGCGCCTGTCTTTACACACATACCCTGTCTCTCTTTCCTCCTCTGTCTCTCTTCTCTCTTCTCCCCTTGTTCTTGTTCCNACTTGTTTCATTGTTACACGTGTGAGCCTTTTATTGAAATCCATGTTAATATGTGTACAATAGGCCTGTGACTCTATTTCCTCCGAGCTTCTGCCTGAGTGGCTTCAGGTAAAGAGATTCAGAGGCTTTTGGTTTGCTGCTGATACTGTGCTTTGCACTTTTGCTGCAGCCAGGGTGGGGGGAGGAGCCTTTTGTGTGGCTTATTAACCCTTTACAGGTAAAATCTGTTTAGCTTCAGCTTATTTATTATCACAGAATAGCCCTCTATGCCTACTACACTCACTTGTTTCTGTACCACGCCAAGTTATAACTCAGATGCTCATTAACAACCACCTCAGAGATACCGATAACACTTACATCTTGCCTTTGGAGCTCAGATCAAAATATGGGGTGAGCTAAGAGCAGATGTGTGTTTCTGAGCATTTTCAGGAATAACGTGCCTTTAAACTTCTCTGTCTCTCTGGATGGTTTGGTCATGAATGGTTCAATCTTACTATGTTTTCTTTTTTCTTTCTTTCGCATATGAAAAGAAATTGCTTGGAAACTCCCTGCTGAAACTGGAAGGTGATGACCGTCTGGACATGAACTGCACACTGCCGTTTAGCGACCAGGTGATATTTTCTGGGCACTGCCAGCCGGTATCTGGCTACAGCCACACGCCATCAAGAAAGAAAGGGCTATATAGGCTTTGTTGCTCTTCTTTTTGGGATTGGGATGGTGACATGCTTGCACTTATGCTCTACTTTTGGACTTCTGCCCTTGCAGGTGGTGTTAGTGGGCACCGAGGAAGGTCTCTATGCTCTGAATGTCTTGAAAAACTCCCTAACCCACGTCCCAGGAATTGGAGCAGTCTTCCAAATTTATATCATCAAGGACCTGGAGAAGCTACTCATGATAGCAGGTGGGAGGCCAAGGACATGGTGCTTTTCTTTACTTTTAAGGGAAACCATTTGAGAGCCAAATTTCCTGCTGGTGAAACACAAAGGCAGGCCCTCCTGGTAGCAGGTCAGAGCAGCAGTGACTCTTTCCTTGTGTCCTTGTTGATGTCCAAGACTCAGCTGACAGACTCTCTCTGCCCAGATTTGGTTCCCTTTCAGTGTGCAGTTTAACACAATCTGACACCCCCAAAGAACATCTTAGCACTATGTCAAGTGAAGAGTGCTAAGCCTCAAAGACTCACTAAAGTCAAACCCTTTGTCATAATTGCATCAGCACCACCGTGGGCCATACCTTCTGAGAGCTTGCCTGTTCTGTGAGTGCGTGACCTCTCTTATGTCTGTGAACTCTCATAGTCCCTTCATCTGGATTTGCCACTTGCTAACATTTTTTTTCTCTCTCTACACACACACACACACACACACACACACACACACACACACACACACACACNGCGCAGGCTCTGAGGTAGCTTATGTAGCATCCCAAGGCCTCCCTCTGCAGCATTTAGAGTGGGGGAACCAGCACTGTTAACCAACTCTTGGGGCATCGTAGACCTTGGTTATGACAGTATAGCAGCAAATGTTCTTATAAGGAAATCCTCTCCTCTTTACTCTGATGAGTTCATTTGGTTTGAAGGCTTGAGTTATAAGCACTTTGGCCATGAAGCAGCGGCATAGGCTGCCACAGCCATGTCTACTTCAAGAAGGCTTTTCATAACCTCCTCCATGGCTTCTGTGGAATTTGCTTTTCTGTAGGCAGGTTTGAAGTCCCACTTGTCCTCAAGATGTTATGTAGGTGTGCCGTGATTGGCATCACTCCCCCTAGAACATTCCAGGATACAAACAGTGCTCATTGCTCATCCGCATGTGCTCCACCAAAGACCAAACAGCTCTTTCAAATGCTTAGCTCCTAATAAACACTTTAAGTGTTAGCAATTG